AAAATAAAATTGGTTTCAAGAATATCGGCCCATTGGCAATCTCCCTATTCATCTCTGTATCAACGGCATAAAAATAGACACGACTGTATAATATAATAAAATGTATATAGTATAATATAATCATACATTTGCTACATTCCAAGTTAATTAATAGATTCAATAAGCATTGTTCATGAATAAAAAAAAATTAATAATAATCGGGTCTCGAACCCGAGACTCTCGCACGTTGACTCGTTACCATGCACGTATGATATTTAGTTACCGTGACGTACAGATTGGAAAAACTGTATTTCAGTTGTGATACACGTTTGGAGTTTGCTTAGAGTAGTCTGATACATACGCTTAACCAATCAAAAACGTGGGTATGGTTCGACGGCCTTCCGCTCAGGTGGCGCGTTTACTCCAAAATAAAATTGGTTTCAAGAATATCGGCCCATTGACAATCTCCCTATTCATCTCTGGTTCTACAAGTTAAAGTTGCGCGGCCAACTTCACACAAATCATCCACCACTGTGATATACGGTATTTTTCGGCACAAATTGAGACTGATCAACACATTTCTCTTGGATACAGTGTATGATTAGAGAATTTGTCGATTTGTGCTGTAAAAGAAAAAAACTCATGAACTTTAATTTCGTTTGGTCTTGTTCCTAATTATTTCCTGGAAGATAAAGGGTGCTTTTCATTTACTGGCACAAGTTGACACAAGTCGACTTGTGTCGCCAAAAGTGCTTTCAATTTGATTTGTGTCGGCAACACAAGTTGACTCGGGAAGACTTTGCTAGAGTGGTGAGTTTACGAGAGCATCTGTGTTCCATTTATTCGATTTCAAGAGTCGACACGAGTTGACACAAGTCGACACAAAAGTCATGTAAATGGAAGTACCCAAAGTGGACTGAATGTCGCGCCATCTAGTAAATCGCAGCTGACCAGTGAGTGTACAGTTCGTAAGTCGATCTGGCAAACTTATGTCTATGATCGTTTCAGTTCGTATACTTGCACCGCCCGTTGAGTTGTATTTCAACAATTTTCGCGAATATTTAAAGATTTCGGTAGAATTTTCAGTTGCTGAGGGATAATTAAGGAAGTGGCCAGCGGAGGACGGGTTATGGGGGACGCAGCGATGAGCGTCGCGGCGTCCGGAGCCGGTCAGCGAGTCGTAAAAGAAGGCTGGCTTCAAAAACGCGGTACTGCAAAAGCGCAATAATTGACAATGAATTATGAAAACTTAATACACAGTGTACTTGTTAACTTGTAATTTTACTAATGATTTTGCAATAAATTCACTTTCATTTTTCTGAAAAAAAATCTCTAAACACCGTGCATGCCGCAAATAAAAAATTTGCATCCCATACTCATCTACCAAATTGAGTTTGAATACAAATTTTACATTTAATTCAGTTCTTCAGTGCAAGGAAATTGCGTCGCAATAGTTTTATGTTCATGTTCAATGATTGCCAACACTTTGAATGTAATTAGCATAATTCAACTTATTAATGATAGTTATACTGTAATATTTAAATCTATTGCACTATACATACATTCATACGATTATAGTTATCAAGACATTCAAGGAAAATATGAATTTATAGTCACTGTTTGATGATTATTCAATTTCTAGGAGAACATATTAAAAATTGGAGATCCAGATATTTTGTCTTAAGAGATGACGGTACACTTGTTGGATTTAAAGCCAAACCTGATCAACAAATGGCAGCTGCTGCTCAGCCTTTGAACAACTTTACTGTTCGTGGTTGTCAGATCATGTCAGTAGATAGACCTAAACCATTTACATTTGTTATAAGAGGCTTACAATGGACCACTGTTATTGAAAGAACATTTCATGTCGACACTGAACAAGAAAGAGAGAGTTGGGTTGCTGCTATTAGGTTAGTTGCAGAGCTTATACTGTGAGAACTAACATAAAATAATTAGTGCTCTGTTTTGCTGAACGAGATCTATATTTTGGTCAGGTATGTAGCTGATAGACTGGCTAGTGAAGAACAACATCAACAGCACCAACAACATCAGTCGCAACTGCAACAATCATCCTCATCAGAAGATGTGGATATGGAATCAATGGGTGGTGGTCGATCCGATTCTTGTGGCTCTCTTGGTGTATTAACAGATGTTGATGGAGGTATTGACGACGAACTATCAGCAAAGTTCAGTGTTCAAGGAACATCAAGCAGTAAAAGCACTGGAAAGAAAAAAGTGGTGTGTATACTTAACAAGTGAACATTGATAAGGTCTCAATTGCGATACAATTTATGATACCATTACATTATTATGATTTGCATATTTCAAATATTTTAGACCCTGGAGAATTTCGAATTTTTGAAGGTTCTGGGGAAGGGAACATTTGGCAAAGTGATTCTTTGCAGAGAAAAAGCAACGGGTCATCTCTACGCTATTAAAATCCTTCGGAAAGAAGTAATTATCCGAAAAGATGAAGTCGCTCACACTCTCACAGAAAATAGAGTTTTACGAACAACAAACCATCCTTTTCTAATCGTATGTATTCGTACTTACTTCGTATATTTGAAGGCAGCCAGTCGAATAAGCAAAGGATTCCATTTGTCTCAAAATTATTTATTTTCCAGTCTCTTAAGTATAGTTTCCAAACAGCAGATAGATTGTGTTTTGTAATGGAATACGTGAATGGTGGTGAATTATTCTTTCACTTAAGTCGCTCACGCGTTTTTGGTGAAGATCGCACGCGGTTCTACGGAGCGGAAATTATTTCAGCCCTTAGTTATCTCCATTCCCAGGGGATTATATACCGTGATTTGAAATTAGAAAATCTTCTACTCGACAAGGACGGTCATATCAAGATCGCAGATTTCGGTTTATGTAAGGAAGATATCACATACGGTATGTGTACCATTTATTCAAATATGGTTCAGTTCAATTATTCAATTAGAAAAATACATGTAACATATTATCACTGAATATGTTCAGGAAGGACTACAAAAACATTCTGTGGGACTCCGGAGTACCTGGCACCTGAGGTACTTGAAGACAATGACTACGGGCGTGCGGTAGATTGGTGGGGTGTAGGTGTAGTTATGTACGAGATGATGTGTGGACGACTTCCATTTTATAACAGAGATCACGAAAAACTCTTCACACTTATCTTACTGGAAGAGGTCAAATTCCCAAGAACGATCAGTAACGAGGCAAAGGACATGCTAGGAGGTAAACACAATATTAAATCATTAATTATTTCAAACTATTAATAACCGAATCCTCGCTATTAAAAAAACAATTTAAATCACAAAAATATACTATATAATAAATAGAAACAATTCATTGACATGTGCCATACAGGTCTCTTAATAAAGGATCCAAGTAGAAGATTGGGAGGTGGGCCAAATGACGCGAGAGATATCATGAATCACGCCTTCTTTTCGTCTATTGACTGGTCAGATCTCGTCCAGAAAAAGATTCCACCACCGTTCAAACCTCAGGTTACCTCGGATACAGATACGCGGTATTTCGACAGTGAATTCACCGGCGAGAGTGTCGAATTGACGCCACCAGATCAAGGCTGTCTAGGTAGCGGTGGCGGTCTTAACTCCATAGCAGAGGAACAAGAACACTTTCCACAGTTCTCCTACCAGGAGAGTCACTCGGCAGCAACTTCGTCTATTGTCTCCATCAACCACTGACAAAACATCCAATCAGGATCAGTGGATTATTTGCTTTGTCTAAGTTGCGGCCAAATCGAACGGCGTTTCAACTGTGCAATCGTCGCGCGATAAAATAAAAGAGAAGAAAAACAAGCAGAAGAAACAGAGGAAAAGCAAAGCCAAGCGATTCCCATGAACATAATAGTAAAATGCACGATAGATAACAGCGCTCTCGCGTATTCGTGCACCATTTCGCGTATTCTCGCATATCGTGTATCCTCGTGCGTCTTCATTATTATGCTCGAAACTCGCATCCGTTTAATTGATTCACGATGCTTTTCGGTGCATCCTTAAATAGTTTGACATATCTCCATGAGGCAGGCTATGCATATACTTCATAATAGAAATCAAGCTTCTTTTTATGAAGTTGATTTTCTACTTGACGCAGTGACGTTCCTGGTTGGAGAAAACACACTGAGGAATTATGGACGTCGTCATCTAACATCAAATTTATATATCACTTCGATGGAAACAGCTTGATTTCAACCACTTTGTCACTGTAAGTGAGAACCAAATGTTTCTCTCTAATGTGACCACCAACGTATCCTCGCTAAAGAAGACTTCCTGCCCCAGGCGATGCGATACTCGGAACTTTACCGCTTTCGCTACTTTCATTGTTACTTTTATCAGCGAAAGTATTGTTCCTATTTTATGTTGACGCCGCCACAGAAGCTATAGGGAAAATTATGGTTTCATAATAATCAACAGCGGATACCCGATGAATTACGGTGGTACCAGACTTTCTCGTTCGCCAAAGACAGGTACGAGTACGTGATTTCAATTATTGTATAAATCTGTGCGAAAAAAAGCCTTTTTCAATATTATGAATTATTCTTAATAAAGCCTAGTAATAATTCTTATTATTATCAATGAAAAGACGTACGGCGTGGGTAGAAAAGATAACGCGCGAGAAATTCATTTTTGTTCTCATGGGAAAACCGTCTTCTCTCACCGTGTGACGTTGACGAGTAATGATTATGAACGACACAAATAACAATATACCAATAAGAAATTACACATTATTATTGCTATTATTATTATTCGCTATAATAATTATATTATTATATATACATATATTTATATTTTAACAATTAAATGATTATACGGTAAAATTTATTTGACCATTCTATCTATACCTGTCCCCTTTTTCTTGTTTATCAATGTTATAGTTGAAATTAAATCAAAATGTATATAGTATAAAAACTGTATTTATTATAATTATGTAACAGGCATTTGCTTTTTCGCATATATATAATGGTACGTACGAACTCATCACCTAAATGTTCCATGATTTTGAAGATTTAAGATAATGTTTAAAATACAATTTTAATATTTTTGAAAGTCGAACACGAAGCAACAAAATTTTCCCGAAGGTCATTCTTTTAGTAATTAAAGGCGATGTTTCTAAAAAAAAGTTTTTGTTTGACAAAATTAGAGTGGCAATTGAGGGAAATTCAAAAATGCATGTCATTGGTATTCTTCTCACAAGGAAGATATAATTTATAATTTTTATTTATGCCGAAAGTACACATGTGTTAGGAAAAACAATAGATTTCTAAAGGCAAAAAAGTACTAGTCACAATTATTCATTTTATTCAATGTATTCTAAGTTAATTAAAAATTTCACGAAACTAGTGTTATCGAATAACAAGTCTATTAATTACACCTTTGCTAACGAACACGAATTACTTTGTTTCTCTAAAAAATAAGGACTCGAAGCGAGTAACTTCCGACAATTTAAAAGAGATATTTTGAACATTTCCTAATAAAATGCTAATATGTCATATATGATTGAATTAGTCTATGAACTCTTTAATTTTACTAAACAGAAAGCAGTCTTAACGATCCTTAAAACGACCGGTCATTTTGTGCCTAAAATTCTTCTAATGACAGAAAAACAACCATCCATCCTAATTGTATGGTCGTGAAAAAGTATTGTTTTGACAAAAATATTGGGAAAACTACCATACTGGTGATTTTCTAGACGGTCGCTTTTCGCAGTCGTTTTTCGAGTGATCGTTTTGCGGTCGTTTGTCCGGTAAATTTTTGACATAAAACGACAGGTTGCTTTTCTAGTTGTTTTACGGTCATTTTTCGAGGTCGCAGGGTTTGATAGGATAATCTTGGAAAATTTCTTCGTGCATCATGATCATTGATCAATATGATCCAAATTATGTCTTGAAAATTTCTTTAAATTTCCACAACCACGGGAAATATTTAGCTCTTCGGTTTCTAATGAACTACCTTGTGTATTTCAATTCAGAATTTCTTAACAAAATTGTTTAGTTTTATAACAATGTATATCAAGTTATCGGAAGCACAGTTTTTTAAACGTAACGTAACTCTTTAAAATTTTGCACGTTTAATTTCTAATTTAAAATATCAATCGATGATTTGACTGCATGGACCTCACACAGTTAAACTTTTAACAACTGTGCGACGGCACTGTCAGTCAATTTAACGCCGTAATAAACGTTAGTATTATTTTTGATTTTATATATTTAAAAAAAAATAGTTCTGTTTTTTATGGCACAAAATAATAATTTAATAAACCTATATAAAATTTTATGTTAATTTATACTAAATAATACAGAAACAAGTGTCTTGACTAATAGCGTGCAAGTTTCCCATTTAAAATGAAGACTGAAATTATGATATGTCAATATTTTGAACAAGAAATGAAAAAACATTAAATCTCATTCCTAAATGATATAGTGTTGTAAAAGAAAATATTAAGAAAAGTTTATTACCGGGTTATATGAGTTATTATGGGTTTTATATGGGTTAACCTTGCTTTTTATACAAGAAAAAGACACAAGGATCCTTTCAAGTAGGAATAACAAAAAAATTCTTATTTTCACTTTCATCACATGACGATGACTTGTTTGTTAAGGGTATAATTTTTCATTGTTCACTTAAGCAAAAATGTTTACCACAATTATTAGATATGTGAAACATATACTAGAGCATTTACATCGTGCATTCTGGCTATCATTAACGACGTTACATCGTGACTAATCATATTTCTAATTTGCAGGTACAATTTTAAAAATGGACTACGAAAATGATATTTTCATACGAAAATTTGAATTAGAATGTTGCAATAAGACTTTAACCTTATATCAGAAACAAGTTGGAAATGTAAGTTGTATAGTGTGGGACGCAGCTCTCGTTTTAGCTAAATATTTAGACATATCTTGTCAAAAAAATAAATTCGGATCAGAATGGCTGCGTGGAAAAAAGATTTTGGAACTTGGAGCTGGTATTGGATGTGTTGGAATGACGGCTGCCTGCCTAGGGTAACTATCATTTCTACCCGGAATCTATTTTAATATAAAAGTCATTGTCCTACATTAGATATACATGAATATTACAGAGGCGAGGTAGTTATGACTGACTTACAAGAAGCGTTGCCAATCTTGCGAAAAAATATTGAGAAAAATAAGAAACACTGGGAAACTGTTGGAGGTTCTGCTGAAGGTCAAGTTCTTGCTTGGAATAAAAATGCACATTTGGATTTTATTCCAGATATTATACTCTTAGCTGATTGTGTATACTATGAGGAGGTATTGCTTTTAACTATAAAAAATGTAAAAAACTTTAAATTTTAGGTTTATTAAATCAAAATGGTTATGTTTATTTTCAGTCCATTTTGCCGTTATTAGACACGCTTGAGAATTTTTGTAATACAATAAAAGATACATATATTTTACTTTCCCAAGAGGAAAGAGATACTCCTAATCAAATATCTGTTTGGCAAAAATTTATGGCGAACTTGACTGAAAGATTCAAAATAGAAAACATTGCATTGGAAGAGCAACATTCGTTATTTTCAAGTTCGGATATACATCTAATGAAGTTAACGAAAATAAAATAGCTTTTGCATATACGTTTATTATTACTTTAGTTCTTTTTCATTTTCATCAAAAAAGTGAAGAAGGAATAACTTTGTATGTATGTACATTGGAATAAAAATTTATTTCCAATCTGGTAAGAATGTATGGAATGCACTGTACAATTAAACAAGTGTAATAAACAACAAATTATTTAATATGACAATTCAAGAAACAATTTGTATTAGTATGACTGAATTTCAAATAAAAATATATTCTTGAGATAAGAGCAAATTTAATAACGATGAATATGAATATAATAGCTCAGTTATAAGTTTCTTAGAGATCTAATTTTCTAAATAGTTGTTTCATTAAAAAATTTACACATCGAACGGATTTTAATATTTAAAGCTTATTTTATGTTGGAAGATTTTCGACGAATTCACTAAATCAGAATTTTAATTAAAAAATTTCAAGTAATTGAACAAGTAAGAATTTTTTTAAGGTGTGAAACTGAATATGACTGCGTGAATTCACAGAGAATCTTTTGACAAACAAAATAGATTTTAAAACAACACATTCGAATCACCAGTGTGAATGTTAATAAAACCTTTTCTAATAAACTGTGACACAAATTATTTTCATGGCAATTTTTCTTGCTCAGAAATCATTTAATTTATTCCCGCAGCCATGTAGAATTAATTTATTTAGTAATCATTTACTTTATGTACATCACATGTAATTACTCATAATTATTTGCTAAGCACATACGGATATATAAAAGGGTACAATGTATGTACATTATGACCCGTAATATAAGGTGCAGATCGAAGAGCTTGTCTATAACATCTCGAGAATGAACACTCGGGGGCTATCCCATTATCAACCGGAACGTAAATAATGTCGGGTCTCGTTTATACCTTACCTTTACAATTTAGGGTGAGTGTTGTATAATGATTATAAGATCTCTTAGGGAGGTACGACTGTTTCCTATATGCAGAGTGTCTTACCGAAAGTGCACACCTCGATTATTTCCGTTACTAATGAAGATACAGGGAAAAGTTTCAAACAAAAGTTGTATGGTTTCAAGGGGGTTTATTTTTCATCTAAATGATTTTTTAAATATTCATTTGATTTTGAAATACGGCACGTTAAGTATTTTTTTTTTTTAATGGAACATCATTTTCTGTTGGTATAAGAAAATGTAGCTCATTTTTGCTCTTAATATTTTAAGACCTTGCAGTCTAAAATCCATCCAGCCATTTCGAAGTTACTGAGAAGTGAATTTATTGAATAATCTTGGGTTGCAGCGCCGCTAAAGCAATTAACATTCGTGTGCTTAATTTCGCAACCAAAGATCATTTAAACAACCCAAGGGTTTATATTTATAATAATGAGATATATCAATTACGATGTAGATAACACGGAAAGAGAGTCTAATTTCTGAAATATGATGGCACTGGGTTATCCTTTATGAGCCATAGTTGGTCTAATACAGCGCCTTCTTTGTCATCGGATACCTAATCACAATTTATTATTAATGGCAGTTTATCAATAATTAAATATTCTTATTACGGCTTGGAAAAAACACTAAATTACCTGCTCCAAATACAGATGAGTCTGATTAAATGCCTTCATTCTGGTATATCCATAATCAGCATTCCGGAAGGCAGACCAAGGAGGTTGTACATATGTAAAGTTTTCACGGCCTTCCTTGCAACCAGCAGATCCAGTTACAATATGAACAGGTGCACGATAATTTTTGTATGGCTCTTCATAGCTTCCATTGTAGACCTAAGAATTTATAATAATAAAAACACAGAGGGTAATTCTGTTGCTACAAACCTATCAAATAAGAAAAATCAAACTTACTTTGAAATTATACATTGGCCACATGCGCTCATAGCTATGTTCGTGAGCCCATAATTGTATATCAACTTTGTACTTAAAAAACAAATCCTCAAGGCCAAACCAGTTCAAAAATGGAAGACCAACTCTGACTAGAGATTGATGATTGGTGCAATCATCTGTATTCTTGTTACTACAGTACATCGGTCTATGCCCAAATGTCACAATCCATGGTCGTTTTGCTCTATGGTCAAATACCTATTTGTCACTAATCTTGATTTATACTATGACAATTCAATTTTTCAAGATCCATACCTCACTTGGGGTCTATTAGCTTCACGAAGGTCTTGATCAAGCCATTCATACTGTTTGACTAGTTGTTTTATTCCATAATTCATAAAATAATAAGCCTCAGTTTCAATGGCTATAAAATGTACTGGACCCACATTAAAGCTATACCATAATCCTTCGGAATCACCAGGCATTGTGAACCGAGCTCTGAAAATTATAGAATTGAAATACATATATTTTCTATTCAATTTGTGAGATTCTGTACTTATCTATTTACCTATAGTTACTAAAGTTATATTTTTCTTCATGATTTCCGGGTACTGTCATATACGGTAAATAAGCAGCAATTCCTTCAATTTGTTTCATGAACTCGTCACCTATTCGCGCATTATCAGTGTCCATGTCATAGGCAAAGTCGCCAACGTGAATAGCTGCATCGTACAGTCCCCGTTGTGTTTCTTCCTGTAGTCTTGTCAAACTTTGGGCATTTTCATTTCCCATGTCACCAAATATCACAATGTGTGGTGTCCAGGAGGACGAGTCAGGTGCAGTTACAAAATAAAACGCATCTGACCAACCATATCGACTTCCACAGTGATAAACTATGGAACAAGAAGACAGTAATAACAATTAACTGTTGTAATTGTTGATGCTCTTTTATTTCTCACCATATTTACTGCCAGGTGTCAAGTCTCTTAGCCATACTCTGTGGATATATTGCTTGTGCTTTTGTGATCCACCATCAACAAAGAGTGTCGAATTGCCCTGTGCAGTTAAGATAAAGCCATCAATGCCGTATTCAACAATAGATTCATGTGTGTCGTCCATTGTACTCCATGTCACCACAATATTAAATATGTTATCTGTAATTTAATCAAGTTTTAGAGCAGTTATACTAATAAAACTTGAAAAAAGATATACATACCACCATATGCAATATGTATTCCTTCAGGCTGATATTGTACTATGCCAATAGTGGTTCCCAAAAGGGTAAAAATGACTAAACACGTAATTGAAAACATGGCCTGTAAAAAGCAATAATGTATACAAGTTTATTTCAGTTTTTAATGCTTTATGAAAGTAAAACAAAAAGAGAGTAAAGAAAGATAATTTGATACAGACAAGGAACCTGTCAAATATCATTATATACTTAATGATTATCAAAAGATGACTCAGTTTATCTTGTTTTGATAAATAGCAAGGACAATCATTGTCCCATTATAATCTAAAGTTTAACATTATAAAGTCCAATCTTTCAGATTGTATTCTAAAGTTCAGTTGCATGACAACAGTGCAATAATTGAACATGGTGATCAACTGACAGTGCACTCGAATTTCCTTTCGAAACATAAAAGTACTGATAATGATTTCCTCATATATTAAATGCGAACGTTGCGCATTCAACAAAACATATATTTTGCAAACACGTCTGAACTAGAAATTGATCATTACAAACTTTTAATCTTCAGTTAACAAGATTAAAAGAATCATTATCTTCGTAAACTATTTTTCATTTCTCAAATAATAACAAACTAATAACAGATAAATTGTATACATATAACTAAAGAAAATGCATAAGTACATACGTCAGTGGACTACAACGTGAGCACCTAGTTTCACTGTCTAACGGCAACTCCGGCAACTGACGGCAACTGAACATTAACGGGATGTTTTGATTGAAATCGATACTACCCGTATCGATATTTTTCAATAAATTAATTTTTGATATTTATATCGATCATGTTCGATCTAGTGAGGATCGATACTTTTGTACTGAAATCGATCTTGTAAATCATAAGAGACAATATAAGCAGAGATGAGTAGGGAGATTGCCAATGGGCCGATATTCTTGGAACCAATTTTATTTTGGAGTAAACGCGCCACCTGAGCGGAGGGCCGGCGAACCATACCCACGTTTTTGATTGGTCAAGCGTATGTATCAGACTACTTTAAGCAAACTGCAAACGTGTATAACAACTGAACTACAGCTTTCCCAATCTATACGTCATGGCAACTAAATATCATACGTGCATGGTAACGAGTCAACATGCGAGAGGCTCGGGTTCAAGACCCGATTATTATTAATTTTTTTTAATTCATGAACAATGCTTATTGAATCTATTAATGAACTTGGAATGTAGCAAATGTATGATTATATTATACTATATACATTTTATTATATTATACAGTCGTGTCTATTTTTATGCCGTTGATACGTTCCACAGAAAACAGCATATAAAAAATATAAGTGAAGTAGAAGGAGGAACCCGGAATTTTCATGAACCCTTAAAACCGCATTAAAAAGCCACCTGCAAATGGATTTTACCCATTGAAAGGCTATATGTAGATATATATATATTCCGCATATAAAGTTCGCGAGGCACAGAATACATGGGTATGCCCAGTCTATTGACATATAGTGAGGACTACGCGATCCCTACCTTAGATCCTTTTAAAAAGTGTCCGCTCAAATAAACAAAGACGAAATGAGGTGGCGACCAATTGTTCTCCTTTTCTAATGTTCCCATTGCCTATGTTTTCTATACTCTCGTACTACGGCTGGTTAGAAGAAGATAGGGCTTGGCCGCCACCAGTCGCTATCTTTTTCTTTCAGCCGACCATTTTTTCTGTCTATGCGTAGTCCATACTACATGTTGATGGAACAGTCTATTTGTACTCATAAGGGGAGGAAACGGTATGGGAAATGAAGTTCGGAATGAGACTTCGTAGTGATGAAACCTCATACCATGCTCAAGTTCTACAGACCAATGGGCAGCCAATTCTGACAGAGCCCTAAAGTTTGTATGGGAACTTATGTATTTAAAGGTAAGAGTTGTGACTTTTTAAGTTTTCGTGGTCGAGTCTCTGCTTGTAAACTTCTTTTTTCATGAATTTTTTGCATTTTATTTCTAAATTTGCGTGATTATTATTACAATATTAAACAAATTTAGAAATAAAATGCAAAAAATTTATGAAAAAAAAAGTTTACAAGCAGAGACTCGAACACGAAAACTTAAAAAGTCACAAGCCTGCATGTTCAATTTTTTTTACATCCAATTTTTTTAATTGTTATGAGTAGTTATTGAACTTTATAAATAAAGTTTACAAAAATGATCGAAAAATAAGTAATTTAAATAATTTTTGCAATGTAAAATTCTTTTCACTCTAGAAATGGACTTTGTTGTTGAAAACGATGTGTTATTGAAAACTAATATGAGAAGACATTAAACAATTAATGATTATTAGTAAAACTAGGACTTTTTAAAAAAAACTTTAGGGCTCTTTTTCTCAAAATTGGCTGCTCATTGGTCTGTAGAACTTGAGCATGGTATGAGGTTTCATCACTACGAAGTCTCATTC